TAAATACTTATTCAATTCAAATTTATAATAAAATTTATATCAACCAATAATAATTGCTAAAATATAACCAGCATGACAAGCGAATTGAAGATTTAAAATCCACAAGTTCAAATACAAAAACTCGCTCGCTTTCAATCAATCTCATGAGCCCCTCGTTTAATTTTTTTTTATTAAATAAGACACGTTTCTGTATTTACTTATCAATTATATCACATCCTTTTTAGTTTTCAATTTTGTATCGATGTTACGTAATATAGCCACTTATATCAAATTGATTATTGAATTTTTATATCTATGAAGCTGTATAAATAGTTCGTAAAGCAACTTACATGGATCAATCACTTTTGAATTTTGCTCAAAATGATCATTAAAGGTTCCGTATCCTAATATTTTAATTTTCTTTATATTTCTTTGTAGTTCTTTTGTTTGCAGTTGTATGCTGTGGCGTGGAATCGGCCATATCGTGCGAAAATTTCCGGAATGTTTTTACATGCGACAGTGCTCCTTCGAACGCATTAACTATTGCGGGGGAAAAGTACTTATGTCCAGAAAATCAGATTTGTAATAGCAACTATCAAGCTGAGCAAAATGTTTGTAGTCCGTGAGTAAATTTAATTCATACTTAATAATAACCTAATTCTTTGTAATTACAAAAGTTGCATTACAATGAAACAATTTTGCGGCGCTACGTTCACGTGTCTTAACGAAACAAGCTTCAAAATGGGCTTGAACCAATTTGATTGTTTGGGAGAAAAAGTTTGTAATTCAGATTTGAAAAACAGCTGCGATCCGTATGTGTATAATGAGATATCGGTATATTACTCTATCAAACATTTTTTAAAAATTATTTATTTGTAGATGTGTTGAGAAAGGGTGCAAAGTCTTTTGGACATGTGATAAAGCTGACCCAACTCATTTCATTGTCAGCGGTGCAAAATATGAATGTGCATCGGGTAAAGTATGCAACAATGAGGAGCCCCCCACGAAATGCGAAACGTAAATATCCTGATTTGTACATTCAATATTTATCCTATTTTATTAACTTGCATTTTTCTTTTAGTTGCATTGATAAAAAATCAGGAAGCAGCATAATACTAGGGTTGCATTAAAAGTTTCCACTGCTAACAAAATAACTAAATACGGAAATAGTGTTTGTATTTATATTATGTTATAGTTTTATATGCTGACCATTAAATATTTCATATCCTA